TCTAGGAATAGCAATTCATTAAGAAATAAGGCAGTTTAAAAATATACATATATATGTAGTATTCATTGTTTCTAGGAACAGTTTTAGACCTTTAGCTCTTTAAACTTACAGAGATATCATAGGAATAAAGCCAACCACAAAACAAAAATCAATGGAATGCAGTAATCCATATATAAAAGATAGTCAAATGTGCTCATACATAAGAAATCAATAATCTCAGCTGTAAATAATACATTATCAAATGTAGCACTAAACAAATTACAATCAGAATGAAACCTTCAGTTTCATTAACTTTGAATATGGAAGTGGAGCTGGCTAAACATGAACTAAATAGTGTACTTCTGTAACTGTTTATACAGGAGTTTAGTGTAGCATGCAACCCCTGCGGTAATGAGAGTGCGATTCTTTACAAACCAAACAAGTCTGACCAAAAGAAAAACAAAACAAAAACCTTGTTGTAGGCTATAAAACTTAAGGGTAAAGAATAAACTAGAATTTAAGGCTTTCTTAGAAATATTTTTTTATGGCACTTCAACATTAAACATCACTAAAAGGCAAAATAGGTAAATATTCATAGTTACAGTTACATAACTGAAAGTACATGCCATGTCAATTATTAAGGAACCATTCTGTAAAGTTTTATTTTCTCTAAGTTATACTTAAGGAAGGCTATTCGTGTTTGGCTGCAATTAACATATAAATCATACAGAAATGTCAATTCACTAGTATATAGTGCAAATTGTGTTTTGAATAAATCCACCAAATACCATTCATTTCTTACAGAACTAAATGCCATTCCTTGCTAGAAATGCAATTAAGCTGACTTATTTCTCTCACAAGAGCAGTTATTATCCTTTCTTGAACTATTAGCCTACTATTAAACCCTAGGATCATTATTAGACAGATTCCTTTTGGTCATGTGCATAGACCATCTTCACAATAATCCATTTCTTGTATTACAGTCAGTCCAGAAAACACTCTATCAGTCTAACAAGTCATTCTTGCCACTCCATACTCTAAGCTGACCACAGCAGGCTCTGGTTTGGAAAACTCTTCTGCATATTCACTGTACCGATTATCTGCTGGGCTGCTGCCCTCTATAGTTCGAAGAGCATCATTCACAGGTAGCAGAGTCTGCTCTTTAAAACGCAGGGAAGTTTTGAGGGTAGGTGATTCAGGACAAACAGAATGTAACAATTCCTTGGTGAGGACGCCATCTGTTTGTTTATTTTTGCGTTGCTTAATTTTCTAGAACAAATACAAATTTGAAAAACAATCACTAATCGCACATAACACATAATATATGTTAAATGAAAAAAGAAGACATGCTTTTGCAAATGTTCTCTCTAATGCAAAATCTAAAAAAATTAATTCAATCTAATGCACATGACACGTTGAAAATCCTAATTGTTTATACTTTTTGCAGTGGAAAATTATTTTTTATATTTATTAAACAAATAATCCAGCCAGATTTGACTATAGAAGATCACTAGTCCTTCACATTTGAAAAGGACATACATTACCTAGAAATCATAACAAGTAAAATTTTATAATAAAAAGAGTATATGAAACATTCACCCTGAAATCACAACTATATAACAATCACAAACTTATTTAGTTAAAGGTCTTATCTTATTGACTATAGAGATTTTTTTACATGGTTTTCCTACAGTGGTTTGTTAGGTGAAAATAACAGGCTTTAGAACACAATAGAACTTTCTTTTTTCTTTTTTTAACAGAATAGATTTAAAAAGCATTCTTTGGCAGAGAGACTGATCTCTGGATAATCTTGTGTTACACTTTGGGCTTGCCTCTCTTTACCACACACTTCTATAATTCAGTCAAGTAATAATTACTTCTTTATGAGATAGATGACTAAGAGACAGATGACTAAGGGACAGTCCTGCCTGAGAGGCAGACAAGACAGTCTTGCTGAATTACAAC